TCGTACGATAATGATGATGATGATGATGATGATGATACTTGAGAAACTCGAAAGATCCTTTACTAGCTTGCATCCTTTTCCGTTTCCTCTTCCTTCGTATTTTCTTCTTCCCGTACCTCGTTGATCGCTATCGCCAATTTTTCTGTCCGATAGCTCGCGAAGTAATACACGATTCCTTTGGAATATGCATTTACTGTTGTATGACCTAAAACAGGAAATATATTGATTGTCTCCCTTTTGTCAATTTTTATCGTATTTCTCTTTAGTTTCTCTCTCCCTCTTTCTCTTTCTTTCTCTTTCTTTCTTCTGTGTTAACACAAAAACATATGAGAAAAAACTGGGACTAATTTATATTACATTTCAGAACGGTTATTAATGATGTTTATTAGCTCGAACCATTAGCTTTATTTTTCCACGTAAACAATCTTATGGATTCCACGAGATCTGTCTCTTTCTACGTATTCCTCGTGGTCTCCATATCTCTCTCTCTCTCTCACACGTCCGCAAGAAGCGAATACTCGCGTAATAAATTTAGATTCTACCGTGTAAAAGAAAAAGAGAGAGAGAGAGAGAGAGACAACGGGGTGAGAGGAGGGGTGTGGGTTACGCGAGGTCCATGCCTTCCTTCCGAAATTTGTTTACTACACGGAGACACGAGGAACGGCTCTAAGTATAGACGACTCGCAGGGAACGTGAAAGCATGAAAAACCTATTTTTATAAATTGTACGCACGCACGCACGCACTCACTCACTCACATACTCACGCACGTACGCACGCGCTCGTATACGAGGAGAAACATTGTTGCGTTGAATCCGTCGTTATAGTTGTGAACTACTATATATATATATATATATATATATATATATATATATGAGAATGAGAATAAGAAGGAGTTAGAGTGCTAGTGAAAGAAAGACCCGGGTCCGTTTTAATCGAGTAGCCAGCCCATTCTCTCTTAATGCAAAAACCGTGTACCACTGCATTGCCTAGCAGGAAGTCCAATTTTTGTCGAGAGTGAAAACGCGAGTAGTCGATCTAGAGTCGACGATAACGAAGAGAGAACACGTTCATTTCCTCACTAACTTCTTCTTCTTCTTCTTTTTTTTCTTCTTCTTTTTCCTACACGTAAATTGTACAGAGAAAATAATCCTTTTATTTATAATATATGGCAGACAATTGACGGACCTATTTTAATACGACCAATGCCAAATGGAATAATAAGAAAACTTTGAACATAAGGTTATTATTATTATTTCTTTTGTTCTTTCCCTTAACCAACAACTATCGAGGTCTAACGTTCTTTTTAACTACACCACACTACTACTACTACTACTACTACTACTACTATTATTATTGCACGTGGTTATGTCTCTTGGTGACGTCGAAGATGATTTTTCTTCGAGGTGAAGTGTCGAGGAAAGAGAATACCTACGGGGGAAAGAAGGGTGGGAGTGAGGAGAAGGAGGAGGGCCAACAAAGGGCTCGTCGAGTGTTTCGAGTCGCGCGTGACAGGACTCTCAAGGAAGGTGGTGGTGGTGGTGGTGGTGGTGGTGCTTATGGTGACTCTTCTGACGTTCGTTCGTTCGTTCCTTCCTTCGCGAAAAACAAAAGAAAACGGAAAGGAAGATAAAGAATAAGAGAAAGTAAGTTAAACGATAGAAAGATAAAATATAAGTATACGTGTGTGCGTGCCGGGCGTACGAGCGGGAATTCGCTGTTTTCACGGGGAAAAATGTTTGCGGCACGCGCGCGCTGACGTTCTATTTTCGAATGAAACGCGCGATCAGGGGACAAGAACGGAGCAAAGTGGAGGAACGGGAAGAGGGAAGAAGAGAAAGAGAACGAACAAGACGCTGAGGGTTTCGCGTACGAGGAAGAGTGAGAAAGGAGAGGAGGAACGAACGGAGTTCCTAGAGATTGAGAGAGATAGACAAACTGACTGAATGCATCTTGGCGGAAGAGGGACAGACCTATGGAAGAAACACTCTACCAACTAACCAACCAACTAACCAAGCGAGAGAGAGAAAGAGAGAGAGAGAAAGAGTTGAACATTAAAGGGAGACTGAATAGAGTGCGTAATGCGTGTGCACAAGCGCGCAACGCAAAAGAGAGAGAGAGAGAGAGAGAGAGATAGAGTGATAGAAACACGAGGGGAAAGAAAAAGAGATAGAAAGAAAGACCGGACCTAGCCTGGTGGATATCGAAGAAGAACTCTGACTTGTCTCGCGTTAGGCGGCCATGCTGGGTCTCCCTCGCGTTCCGAGAAAACGTTCCGAGAAAAGAAGCGTTGTCTCTTTCTGTTCGGCGAACTAACGAACGTACGAACAGCCAAACCAAAAACTAAGGCTTGAACTACTTAACGCGAGAGAAATTTTCAAACAAGTTACTCTCCCTTTTTCTTTTCTTTAGCTATGAAGAAGAACCACCATGAATCTCTGTTACTTCAGTAAGAAATGAAAAAAAAAGGGGAATAAAATGTAAGATGTTTATTGTGAGCAT